AGAGCCCCATGAAATCCCAGCCCAACCTTGGAAAAAGGTCAGAACAAACCTTTTCACTGTTCATGACAGGAATTACGTAGGCTCAGTAGACTAAAGATCTAAAAAACATGACCTATGAGGGAAGATTGAAAAAATTGGGTTTGTTTAGTCTACTGAGGAGAAGACTGAGAGGACACATAACAGTTTTCAAGGACATAAAAGGTTGTTACGTGGAAAAGGGAGAAAAATTGTTCTTCTTACCCTCTGAGGATAGCACAAAAAGCAATGGGCTTAAATTGCAGCAAGGGAGGTTTAGGTTGGACATTAGGAAAAACTTCCTAACTGTCAGAGTGGTTAAGCACAGGAATAAATTGCCTAGGGAGGCTGTGGAATCTCCATCATTGGAGATTTTTAAGAGCAGGTTAGACAAACACCTGTAGGAATGGTCTAGATAATTAGTCCTGCCATGAGTGCAGGGGACTGGACTAGATGACGTCTCGAGGTTCCTTCCAGTCCTATGATTACTACTCCAATTTCTGGGAGGTGGACTATCTGGAAGACACTTAGGCAAGAACTGTGATGGGGAAACTGAAGGCTTCTTTTTGCAAGGTCTAGCATACCTGACAAACTATGCTCAGACAATGGTCCACAGTATACTGCAGCAAAATTCAAATGATCCAGCACCAAATGGGAAATAGAATACAAGACTTCTTCCCCTGGGTACTCCCAAAGTGATGGGAAGACAGAGACAGCAGTAAAGACAGATAAGAGACTGATGGCAAAGGAAAAACAGACAGGAAGAGGTCCCTACCAGCCTCTCAGAGACTAGGTAGTAGCCCAGCATAAGGACTGATGGGCTGGAGAACCCAATAGAGGAATGGTTGATGATACGCAGAAGCAGCTAAGAGAATGCGAAGCTAAGCAGGAAGCCCACTACAACAAAGGACCTGAGGCTACTATGCACAGGTGACCAGGTCTGGATCCAACCATCAAATAGCCACACAAGGCAATGGCAAAAGGCAACAATTCAAGCTGCTGTTGGACACAGATCGTAGGAGGTAGCTACAGACTCAGGACAGCAGTAGAGACAAAACCTAAGCCAACTGCTGATTAGGGGCAGACAGATGGCACACCCAGGCAGACAGGGCCATGGCCAGGCCAGACAGCCACAGCCGTCAGCAGGCATGACACAGGAGAGTCAGAAGAAACAAGGTATATGAGCAACACAGGATGCCACCCAACACAGTGAATGCAGAACAGGGTTGTAGCCAATGATTTGAGTTTATTGATAATTTATTGTGTGATGTTATGATTAACTAACATGTTATGTCATATATAATCATATACCCATGGTGGTATAATACCACATTACAAAATTCCCTTTAAATAAAATAAAAGGCTACAGGGTGGAAGCAAATCCCCTACCAAGAGCAGTAACACAAACAAGAAATGGGAGACTGGTTGGGAGACCTGCACACTTGAAGAACTATGAGGCCTAATAGGCCACAATGGATTGGCAGTAAAGGACATGTCACTACGATGGGTAGGGTTGCCAACTTGGTAATATTTAAAAACCAGACACTCCAGCAGGTCTGCAGGACCCTCCCCTGCCCTGCCTCTTCCCCCCACCCCTGAAGGCCCTACGCCCCCTCTTCCTCCCAAGGCTCCACCCCCATCCACTCCTCTTCCCCCCCCCCCATCACTCACTGCTTTGCCCGTCCTATCCTCCAGTCTGGGTCAGGAGGAACTTGCCTCTGGAGCTGGGGCTGGAAGCTGCAGCTGCCCGACACAGGTAGGAGGCTGCAGTGGGGGCTGGCATGGGTGATGACCTGGCACCCCCCTGCCTCCCCCACCCACAATAACTAGACTTTGAGTGTCTGATCTGTAGATCTGACCAGACACTGTCAGGTCCCCTTTTCGACCAGACTTTCCAGTCCAAAACTGCGCACCTGGCCACCCTAATGGTGGACTACATACTAGTAATTTCTGGACTCCACAAGTCAGCAAATGCCTGCACAAAGTACACAACAACAACAGTTAAAATGAAAAAGATAACAATTAGGGCTGTCAATTAATCACAGTTAACTCACATGATTAACTCAAAAAATTAATCGCGATTAACAAAATTAATAGTGATTAATTGCACTTTTAATCGCACTGTTAAACAATAGAATACCAATTGAAATTCATTAAATATTTTCTGATGTTTTTCTACATTTTCAAATATATTGATTTCAATTACAACACAGAATACAAAGTGTACAGTGTTCACTTTATATTATTATTTTTATTACAAATATTTGCACTGTAAAAATGATAAAAGAAATAGTATTTTTCAATTCATTCATACAAGCATTGTTAGTGCAATCTCATTATCGTGAGAGTGCAACTTACAAACGTAGAATTTTGGGGGGGTTACATAACTGCACTCAAAAAACCAAAAACAATGTAAAACTTTAGCGCCTACAAGTCCACTCAGTCCTACTTTGTTCAGTCAATCACTAAGACAAACAAGTTTGTTTACATAATGCTGCCCGCTTCTTATTTACAATGTCACCTGAAAGGCACTGTTGTATCTGGGGTAGCAAGGTATTACGTGCCAGATATGCTAAACATTCATATGCCTCTTCCTGCTTTGGCCACCATTCCAGAGGACATGCTTCCATGCTGATGATGCTCATTAAAACAAAAAAAAATGCGTTAATTAAATTTGTGACTGACCTTTGGGGGAGAATATTATGTCTCCTTCTCTGTTTTACTTGCATTCTGCCATACATTTCATGTTATAGCAATCTCAGATGATGACCCAGCACAAGTTGTTTGTTTTAAGAACATTTTCACTTCAGATTTGACAAAACGCAAAGAAGGTACCAATGTGAGATTTTTAAAGATAGCTACAGCATTCGACCCAAGGTTTAAGAATCTGAAGTGCCTTCCAAAATCTGAAAGGGATGGGGTGTGGAGCATGCTTTCAGAAGTCTTAAAAGAGCAACACTCCAATGCAGAAACTACAGAACTGAACCACCAAAAAAGAAAATCAACCTTCTGCTGGTGGCATCTGACTCAGATGATGAAAATGAACATGCGTTGATCCGCACTGTTTTGGATCGTTATCAAGCAGAACCTGTCATCGGCATGGACATGTCCTTTGGAAGGGTGGTTGAAGCATGAAGGGGCATATGAATCTTTAGCTACAACAGTATGAACACCTGTTGCAAATGTAAACAAACTTGTTTCTCTGAGTGACTGGCTGAACAAGAAGTAGGACTGAGTGGACTTGTAGGCTCTAAAGTTTTACATTGTTTTGGTTTTTGAGTGCAGTTATTTTTTGTATATAATTCTACATTTGTAAATTCATTTTTCATGATAAAGAGATTGAAAATATTTGTAATAAAAATATAAGCGAGTGCCGTACACTTTGTACTCTGTGTGGTAACTGAAATCAATATATTTGAAAATGTAGAAAACATCCAAGAATATTTAAATAAATGGTAATCTATTATTCTTTAACAGTGCGATTAATCACACGATTAATCATGATTACTTTTTTTAATCACGTGATTCATCGCGATTAATTTTTTTAATCGCTTGACAGCCCTAATAACAATCTGCATGGAACTTGGGTAGAAGAACACAGGTTGCAGGAGGGTACCAGGAAATAAGTCTGCATGTCAATAGCTTAAGTGCTAGTAGTAGTTAAAGCACTTCTGTAAAGAGTTATTTTAATGAAGAACCACTTTAATTTTAGACACATGGAATCTGTAATTGAGTAGCTGGCCCAGTACATGAAATTGGGCTCAGTTCTCCTTTTCCACTCCAGGAGCGCCCTTGTTTGGTGCAATTAGGAGGGTGGGGCTGACTCTGGGGATTACAAATGAGAGTAAAGATAGCTGAGATGAAGAGCTACAGGGAAGGGATGCCCCTGAAGGAGGGAGGGGTGAGAATTCCCTGGTTGGGCAGTGGAGCCAGTTCAGACTGGTGAAAGTGGAAGGCAGTTGGGGGTCACCTACAACCTTTGGCAGGCCAGAGAGGACTGAGATCAGTGGAGGAAGAAAAATGAAGGGGTGAGCTGGCTGTTGTCTTCAGGCAATAGCTGGAATCCTACCCCAGAAGGAAGCAGGGCAGAGAAATACCCCAGCTAGGGGATCTAGGGAGAGGCGTGGTGAGAGATGCTAGCGTTGTGCTTGGTGTTGGACTGGTGGGATGAATATACCATTTGAAGTGTGCTGGGGGATTCTGGTCTATGGTAGTGAGCATTTTGGTAATAAATTAACCCTGCAGAAAGGGCTGTTTATATACTCTGAAGGTAGGGTGACCAAACAGCAAGTGTAAATAATCAAGACAGGGGGTGTGGGGGGGGTAATAGAATCCCCCAAAATCGGGACTGTCCCTGTAAAATCGGGACATCTGGTCACCCTATCTGAAGGCAGCACTGAATTTGTTTAAAGAATGAAGAGAGAAACTGCGGGGAGGGGCCACTTGCAGAGGGGCACCTGCGAGGAGGCCAGGCATTTAGAGTCCTTTCATGTTGTTACCCAGCACCTGACATGAAACACCTTTAGGTGCAAGTTTCCGTTCTCCTTGCCCCCCTCGCAATGCTGGAAGAGGGCAGGGAGACATGCAAGCCCGCACTCGGGTTGCCAGGGGCAGCTCTCCTACCCTGCCAATGCCCTGTGGGAAGGCGCCCTGACATCCCAGATGCCTGGCATTTTGCTGTGGCTATCTGGCACCCCCCGACCACAGCGCCCCATGCTGGCAGGTGCCTGGGAGATACAGCCCCTCCCGAGGGGGGCTGATGCTTGCCCAGGGGAGTTGAGGCAGAGCAGGGACAGGATGCAATCACTCGCTGTGACACCCAGCTCTTCTGCTGTGCAGCCCCTGGTGACTTCGGGAGAGAAAGGAGGATGCTTCAGGCTGGTGGGCTGATGTCAGTGGCTGGGGGAAGGTGGCAGCACTGGGCCCCACACGCCGGAACTGGGTGGGGCGGAGCAGAGAGACCCTGTGGTTGCTATCACCGCCTCCCTCTTCTGCCTCCCTAATGGGGTCGGCTTAGCTGCAGCGGGCGCTGCTCCCGCTCAGACTGGCCGTGCAGCTGCTCCGAGCAGTCACAAGATGCGGGCAGTCATTGCCTTAATCGCTATGCTCAGCAGCCTGCTTCTCTTCGTGTGCCTCCTTTGGCTCACAGCAGACGGGTCCCTCAGCACCAGGTAGAGAGACTTGCAGCGGGGTGAATCCAAAAGAATCCGGGCGTTCAAAGCCAGCTCCGAAGTGTAGGTGGGGCAGAGTTTTGGTTTGGCTGGAAGCAGGCAGCAGCTTGGCTGATATTGATACCTGGCTGGAAGGTGGGCTCCATGCCTGGAGGAGGTGGGATTCCAGAGATCAGATACTCTAGCCTCTGAAATGCAGCTGGAAAATAAGGAGTGTGACTTTATAATCCCCTTTATGCACTAGACACAACAACAGCAGAACAGCGTTCGCTCGGCTTTTCCTGATCTATTTTGGCTCTCAGGCTTTGCAGTGTATTAATGATTCATGGAGAGGGAACGGTTCACGCATGGTAACGTTTCATTACAGTGTTTGACAACTTTATTTTCCTTCTTGCTTACTAGGAGCTGGGAGAAGGAGACCAAATCAGCTACTGATGTCACACCTAAAGGGCTGAGAAAACTCAGGTCCCCTTTAACATCTGTCCAGCTTGCTACTCAAACCGAGAACAGGTACAGGCTATTTATTTCTTATTTAGTATTCATATTATTTATGATTGTGGTATTAATGCTCTATACAGCAAGAATTCACTATAGTTACCATTTGCTTTTATAAAGCCTTGATCAAAAGAGATGTTTAAAGCATATTAGAACAAGAAAATTGGCTTGCAGTGTAATAAAAGGACTACTCCATACTGGGTATCATCAAATGTCAATCTGTGGCTGGTTTTGTGTAGCAAAGCAGAGTGCTTTATAATTTGCTCTGAGCATTTTTTTTCCTTTTCTTCAAAAATGTGGGTTTGTCTGTCATTTAATTTTTTTTTTTTAAATTCATCTTCACACACTTTGTTCATAATGTGGATTTCTCCTTTAAAATACATGAGCTTAGAGCCAGATTCTGAAATCCCTTACTCACACTGAGTAGCATCTTCTTCCATACGTAGTCTCATGGTTTAGTCCCAAGTGCCATGCTCTTTCTGAATCATTTTCTGGATCCTTGTTATCATGCCCATTAATTTATATCACAATGTTTAATAAGGGTATAGTCAATAAAATAAGCTGTGGGGGGAAAAGTCTTTTTATAAGTGCAGGGCTTGAATGTTTATAACCAAGAACCATATTTTGCCACTCGATGTTATTCCAGATTGCTCACAGCATAAGGTACTACTCACCATGGGTAAGAGTAGAAGACTTGATATATTATTAGCCCTTCAAAAGCTGCTGCTATCTGGAATTTTTTCCCCACTATTTATTTTACTTAAGTTAGCCATATTAACATTACAGCTGTTCTAATTAGCATATATATATCAACAGGTACAGTGACCAAAGAGCCACACAATGATTTAGAGAAAGTTTAGCAATTGGTTTTTAAGCTTGAAGCGTGAAATTTTGGCCCCATTCAAGTTAGTGGCAAAATTCCCATTGACTTCAGTAGGGCCAGGATTTCACCCAAAGAGTCTAACTGAAATTTTTGGTTCAAACTACAAATGCTTTCCCTCCAGTCAATACAAATGGAGATAGTCCTACTATTCATTCTGTGTAAATGTGGACAATTCAATATTTCTTACTGTTACGCTCTGTACCTCAGGGGAACACCCCCATGTTCATCTTTATAAAATAATTGTGAGGTATCCAATGCAAAGTTTGTCATGTTGGGTGTCTTTGGAAGGCTCATAATGCACTGAGCATGGTTGTTCTACTGATGTTATAGTAATTGTTACAGCAATGTTATAGGTTATAATTTCATGTATATAGTTATGAGGCTGAAAATGTGTCTTCATGGTTTAAAGCAAGCCCATGCAAAAACTCTCCAAGAACAGAGAGGCAGTTCACACTTCGTCAGGGCATGGATGGGACAAACCCAGCCCAGCCTCACAGGAACAATGGACACTGGCTTAGGCAGCAACAAAAGAATCCCTTAGACCCTTGAGGGAGTCACCCCCTTCCTTTGGGCAGTTTGGGACTGCGATGAGGTATTACTCACCCTACTGTGAAGGGGAGAGGGGGCAAAGCCATGAGGGAAGAAAGGACATGATAAAAGGGAGAGACATTTTGCCATGCTCTCTCTCGCTTCCACCTACATCTACAGACACCACGACCACCAAGCAACTGAAACGCCGTTCAAAAGGGAGAGCCCAGAGGTGAAAGTAAGCCGGTCCGGTACAGCGTACCGGCAAGAGCCGGTACACCGCGGCAGGGATGTGGCACAGAGCCTAGAGCCCTTTAAATCCCGCCCGCAGCTCTGGCGGCTGGGCTGGGGTCAGGATTTAAAGGGCTCGGGGCTCCCCGCAGTGGCGGGAGCTCCGGGCCCTTTAAATCCACACCCAAGCCCAGCTGCCGGGCTGGGGCCGGGATTTAAAGGGCCCGGAGCTCCCGCCAC